CCTTGCACACTCTTGATCCCCCAGACATGGTGATGACTGCTCACACTGGCTGAGTCATTTTGCAGCCGGCCTCACTGGGGCCGCTTGAGCTCTCAGATTTGCAAAGGCAGGGCTGTGTCCACCCTGCTCACCAGGCTTCCACAGAGCCCAGCCCAGGGCGAGCTGAGAGCAGCACTCAAGATCTATGGAGAAGAAAAATTCACACCCTTCCTTTACCCATCGTTACTGTATTACCCCCTCCTCTCTCTCTCACTCGCTCAGGGCCTCCAGGATCAGCATGGGGCAATGCTGCAGTCAGCCCAGCCCTCCCTCTCCCCCCTCCCCTCCTCACACAGCTTGCATCTGCTGAGTGCCCCATTTGATGCCAGGTCTTGGCAGCCCTTCCCCTGCCAAACCTGGTTCCTGGATCCTGCCAGGTGCACACCCCAGTGGACATCCTGTTTCCTCCCTTCTTCTCCCTGCTCTGACTACATGTCCTGGGCCAGATGCTTATGAAATCCTATGAGTTCTAACATCACCAGGCTCCTGGTGGCCCGGTGCCACAAGGGCTTGGCTCTGAGTCATGTGCTCTGGGGCTTGGCAGGGCTGGGACAGGAAGCTCAGAGCCCTCAGTGACACTAACCCAAGCTGAGTTGGAACGTGGCCAGAGTCACTGGTTTCATCACCACAAACCCACGGAGCACACCTGTGAACAGACATGTGAGCATGTGGCCCCGAAGAGGATGTGATGTGTCCAAGGTTACAGGGAATGTCAATGTGGAAATCCAACAGTGGCACATCTGTTCACTCATGAACACAACTACACAGCAATGAGACCGACTCCACTTCCTAATGTCACAGGGCCAGGGTTTGAAGCCCACCTATTTACCAGCTGTGTGACATTGGGCAAGCCACCTCACTTCTCTGAGCCTTATCTTTACTTACTTGCACATAATAAATGCTCCGACGTAGCCGATAAGAAAATCAATAGCAGAGTAAGTGCTAAAACACAATTATCAGTATGTCTATAGACATACATCATCATCATAATTTACACCCCTGTTGGTGTGCATATGAGTGTATATTGGCACACACCTATGCATGTAACATGCTTATTCAAGGACTTGTATATGAGCCCACCAATTTACATACGGATGCATGTGTCTGTGAGGCCGTTTGGGCTGATTACTTTTTTCCAACAATCACACTAGTAGGGTGGTTTTCCAGAGGATTTTCTGAGCTCTTGTCTTGGGCAGGAATTGGTGTTTTTCTGGGTAGACATGCACATGCTTGCCTGTCTGCGTGAACCTGTGTGAGGGGAATGAGTGCGACCCCATCCCTTATCAGGTTGGTTAGTTGGCAGAATCTCCAACTGTGGGGATGCGCATCTCCTCTGTACCTATGGATGCCAGGGGTATGGGGCATTCTGAACCTGGATTGTTTGGGTTCAAATCTCACCTATGCAACCTTTGGCAGGATGCTTAAATATTCTGTGCTCAATTCTTATTCTGTGAATTGGAGATAATGATAACCACCTTATGGTGGTCTGAAGACTAACAGAACTAGTTTATATGAAGAGCACTGACTACAGAGCCCTGCACAGACAAGTGCTAAACCTCTGTCCTCTGTGATATATGACATGACCTCCTATTACAGCTCTCACCCTATTGTATCGCCATTGTCTCTACCGGACTGTCCTTTTCACTAGACTGGGAGTCCCTGGAGGTCAGGGCCATGTCTGAGTCATCCTTCATTATAACCTGTGTACTGCCTGCTAATTCGGAACCTCAGATTTCTCCATCATAACAATAGCTAGCATTTATAGGGCACTTCTATGTGCCAGGCACTGTGTTAAGATCATTAGGTCTTCCAACAATTTCAAGAGATTGGTTTCTTTATTGGCTCTATTTTAGAGACAAAGAAACTGAGACTCAGAGAGGTTAAAAAATTGCCCAGACTCACACAGTGACTTGAACCTGGCAGACTGCCTCCCTCACTCTCAGCCTGCTCTTGGCATAAGATTTGGGATGAAGAGTTCGGCGCATGAATGTTGCAGAACATTTCCCTCCTGGACTCCCCACAGCTCTCTCATTCTCTCTCTCTCTCTCTCTCTCCACATCGCACTAACACCTGCCCCGTATGAACATCCCTGTTTCTCTCTCTCACCTTGGGGCATCTCAGCTCCCTGCCCGGGCACAGCACCCCAGAGGCCAGGCAATGCTCCCAAATCACCCCTTCTTTGGTCTAGTTGGGGGTGAGGTGGAGGAGCTTCTCTGAGGCTGGTCCCCTGGGTCAGCAGGGGTGAGGGAGGGAATGCAAGACTCAGCAGGACAGAGGGACAGCCTCTGGGGAGTGTGGGGTTGGATGCTCAGGCTCTGGCATAAAAAGAAGTTTAGCAGAAGGTAGACACACACACACACACACACACACACGTCAGCCTCCCTCCTTCTCCTAGGTCTCCCCACCTCCGAGAGGGGAGGGAATGCAGCCAGAGGGGAGGAGAAATAGCTTCCCCCTCAGGTAAGGGGAAGCTGTCAAACTGCTGAGCTGCCACCATTTTGAAGGAACACCAGAGGGTGCCCAGAGGCAGCTATGAGCTCTGTTTCTATTTAGTCTCCCGCCATGTGCCCCTTGGGTCTCCAGGTGCCACCAAGGCCTAAGGTCTTGTGTATTCTGCTCTTGTTGGGTGCAGTGCCCTATAAATATCAGTTAGGTCAAATTGGGGGATAGTGTTGGTCAAATCTTCTCTACCCTTACTGATTTTCTGTCTACTTGTTTCATCATTTATTGAGAAAGAATTGGAATCTATGCCACTGCCTGGAAACTCAGGGAAGTCAACCGGGGCAATTGTAGGGGTCTCATTCATTTATTTCTTGGTCCACTCTCCAAAGGCAATAGAGATTTTATGCATGTACAAGCAAGGTCCATAAATCTTCTTTTTACACAAATGGCTTAGAAGTATTCGTAGTGTGCTGTACCTTGCTCCTTCCCACCTAACAATATCACTTGGAGATCTGTGTAGATCAGTACACAGCAGCTTTTCATTCTTTCACATAGTGTTCCAGTTGCAACTGTGCCATGATTTATTACCTAGTCCCCTATCAATGAACATTAGGTTGTTCCCAAATGTTTTCTGTGACAAACAATGCTGCCGTGTCCAACACTTAGAACTGAACCTACAGACAGACCCGCACAACAGGTAAGGGTCAAAAGACATGTGCTTTCCATTTTGATATTGCCACACTGCCTCTCTTGGAGGCTGCACCGGGTTACAGCCTGTTTCCCAAGCATGGGATGCTGTACAAAGCACCCCATACTGCATGGCTTAAAACAACAAAAATCTATTCTCTCACAGTTCTGGAGGCTAGAAGTTTGGAGAATTTTGGCTTTTACTCTGAGTGAGGTGGGAACCATGGGTGCATACCGGGCAGAGGAGGGACACAACCTAACTTATAACAGGATTTATCTGGCTTCTCTGTAAATATTGGACTTGGGGGATGGAGAAGCGGGAAGTGGGGAGACCAGGAAGCTGGTGCAATAACCCAGATGAGAGGTGATGGTGGCTCAGGCCAGGGAGCGAGCTGTGAGGCTGGTGAGAAGCGGTTGGATACAGGATGTATTTCCAAGGTCGAGTTGACAGCACTTGCTGATGGATTGGATTTAGGCTGTGAGGAAAGAGTGGAGTCAAGGATGACTCCAAGGTTTTGGCTGGAGCAAACGGGAGGCTGGAGCTGCCATTCTATAAGGCGTGGACAGCACCTGAGGTCTTTAAAGCACTGAGAACGGGGTCTAGGCCCTGGTAAGTTGCCATTAGGGGTTAGCTGTTCATATCGATGGAAAAGATCCCACCTTTGGCTCCAGCTCCCTCCCTAAACCATCCTTGCACTCCCTCTCTCAGGGATGGGGCAGTAGGTGGTCAAGGTGGCTGAAAATTTTCCTTCCCATCAAGCAAGCATTTAAGTTCACCCTCAGCAAGCCTAGGCAAGTGGCTTCACTTCTCTAACCATTAGTTACATCATCTGTAAAACGAAGATGATAATCCCCTTTCTTATGAGGAGCAAATGAGAAATGATTGGATTTAAGCAGCCAGCACTCATGGCGCCCC